AAGGTTAAATTCGGGATTAAACTCAACTTATTTCTTTCGTACTAAAATCGGGTCGATTCTTAAAAAGTCGAAATTTCGCAAAACGAACTTCACTATGTTAATCTACACGTCGGATTATGCTAGCACGTCAATTCTTGTTAAATTCGGAGTAACTTGCTCCGTCGCCGAAATTGCCGAAATCGGGAAATTGGAACATAATCGAATTCCAAATTAAATCGCCTAACTTATATCATATTTGTATTTAATTAATATAAATATTTAATATATTAAATTAAGAAAAGAAAAACAAAACATAAATTAATTAATTAATTTCTAAATTTACTTTCAATTATGCCTACTGTTAGTTTTTCTTTAGTTTATAAACTTAATTATACTGCATATTTTACGTTAGTCTTCCACCGTCTTGTTCTTACTCTGATACCAATACTGCATAATTTCCAACTTCATCAAATGGACATACAATTTCCAACTTCATCAAATGGACATACTGCATAAGCTAATTTGCTATTGAAATATAGTATACCGTTATATCTTTTAGTTATACTAAACTTAATTAATAAACATACTGCAAGTTTTTATTTCTTCTAAACTATATCTAAACTAAACTCTACTGCTAGTACTTAGTTTTAGAAGCTTATCATCATTTCAATTACTAACCGCTAGTTTTTAGTTCCAAAACTCCATTTCAATTGCATATGCCACTAGTTCTTCTAGTTTCTAAACTTCATTTAAATGCATATGCTACTAGTTCTTGTTTCATTCCAATTTCAATTAACTTAATACTAATTCAACAACAACAACACCACCTAATTAACTCTTCTAATTTCTATCTCAATAAAACTCAAGAACCCTAACATCAATTTTTCCCCAAATCCAAAATATATCAAATTAAACCCTAACTATAAGCATTAGAAAATCAAACCCCTTACCTTGGTGTGGGTTTTCTTGAAACAAGATGATGAAGATGTTGCAACTCCAAACCTAGCTTCCTTTCTTCTCTTCTCCTCTTTCTCTCTTCTTTTCTTTCTTCTTTCTCTTCTTACCAACTACTCTTACTAACTCTCCTTTTCTATTTTATAAAACTATCCTTCTACTACTAACTTTCCTCCCTCTATCTTTCTAAAATTATAATTTGGCCCCAACAATTATTTAATTCAAATTATATCATATAATTCTATTAAAACCATATTACATTTAATTAATATTTATTCCATAAAAACTAAATTATACCGATAAATCAAACGAAGCCAAATACACACCAAAATAATATTACTCAAAATAGTATTTTATCATTATGAATATTTTTATTTCAAATAACCGAATTAACATTTAATCAAAAAACGGGGTGTTACAGAAGTATTTCAAAGACTAAGAACTATGATTAATATAGATAGGTTAGACACAATGAATTATGTGGTGTGTTAAATTGTAATTCGATTGTGTCAAAACAATGTGTGTGTTGAACGGAAGTTGCTCAGTCAAAGAGCTTGGATCGAAGCAAGTTACACACATATTTGATTGGTTTTAAATTTTAGATAAATTTGATTTAGATCTAAAATAGATAGATTTGATTTATTACCAAAATAGATATTTTGGTCTTTTATAGTTTTGGCCTTTGTCTTAAGGAGCAAGCTAACCTAAATATATAAATAGATGGAGTAACCCCTAATTTTGTAATGAAGTCAATTCATTGTAATTATAGAATTTGCAGTTGCAAGCGATTAATAAAGTTTTCTACAGTTTGTGGGCAGAGAGAAACTTTGCAGAAAATAATTGTCTTCTTTCTTTTCTTTTCTCATAATTCATTGTCATTGTATGGTGATATCAATCTTATTCATCAAGATTGGTAGAAATTCATCATAGATATTTGGTGGATTTCCAACAATTATTAGATGATAATAATTTTTTTAATAATATTTATTAGCTTAATATAATCTATTTATCTTTATTCTTTCAATCATAATCGATCACTCTCATTTTGTAATATTAACTTTTAATATATTATATGTTATATATTATATCAAATATATGATTTATTAGTAGTTTTATAATATTAATAAAAATATAATGTGTAATTTAGATATCCAAAAACTGATCCAAATTAAACCACATATTGGATCAGATTGGATTGGATTTTTTTAATATATCATCCAAAAGTGAATCAAACCGTAAGTAAATTTATCTTTGGATCAGATGAATTTTTGTCTTAAAACCGATTCAAACCGAACTGCGAACACCCCTAATGAGGATGCTTCTACGTTGGTCTGGTATGCTGTGAACAATAATTCCGATGTGGAAATTTACATAGAGGCCAAAACTACTACATGTGACTTGACCTATATGAAAAAAGTTATAGAGAGACAAAAGTGGCATGTAAGTGATGAGGAAGATGGTGGTGATGGGTATGAACCAAGTGGATATTTTGAGGATGGTATTCACTTTGAGGATAATGAAGAAGAGAGAATACAAGTGAGGCATCTACAAATTCAAGCGAGGCACTAAGAATGTATTATGGGATAAAACCTGATACATTGGCTGCACCGCTGAATGATGATGATATATTGGATATTTAACCACTCCGTGTTGACAATACTCCTGTAAAAAGACATCAACAAAATTCTAAGGAAACTCCACGTGATGCACCACAAACTGCTAAGGAAACTATAGGTGATGCACCACAAACAACTAAGGAAACTCCAGGTGATGCACCACAAACTGCTAAGAGGCGTACTGTTCGAGTTTTATTTGGTCCATGTCCAAAACTACCTAAGTCTCCAAAGCCAAAATAACATGAGTCTCCAAAGCCAAAATAACCCGAGTCTCCAAAATAAACAACGAGTGACCTAGTAAGTTCAATAATGCATGTTTGGATGCATTTGTATTAAAATACTTGCCATTTGGTTATTTATAATAAATGCTGTTGTCATGATAGGTGAAGACCTTGATACCAAAAGGGAGGAAAACAAAGCATGTTGGGACTCCTACAAGGAAGAGCTATCGACTTATGACATTGAAAACACGTGACATTGTGAGTCTAGGGAAGGATGCTGAGGATCCACTTGTGATACCTGAAGAGGACATAGAAGTTAGCAGTGCTAATGGAAAGAAGTATTGGAAGACCATTGAGAAGAGCTTGACTCAGTAACATCAAATGTGTATTATGCACTCTTTTGTTTTGTGTGTAACATCATTATGTACTCTTGTTTTGAACATGTGCATTACACACTCATTTGTTTTGTGTGTAACATCAAACCTATTAAAACTCTTTTGAGTGGTTTGACAATGTCTATTACCATATGTAATATTGTTTTAAACACATGCATCATGCACTCTTTTGTTTTGTATGTAACATCAAACATATTAACACTCTTTTCTATTAACATGTGGTGTACTCTTTTGCTACGTTGAGATATGGTTTGCAAAAAAATGAATCATTAAACTCAGTAAACGATTCATACAAGTATCCTCAGAATAGGCCAACTTTACAATATTGACAATGAATCATCATACTCAATAACATAAAAAACAATAGAGATGCATTTAAGAAGAACCGATAATATTTCATTAAACTCATTAACAATACTTATACATTACTATTGAACCAATGACACTTAACCAAAGATACATTTCATTTCATACCGATAAACCACTATTCAACACATATATTTCAACACCAAATTAACATTTAACAACAACGAGATAACAAGACACATCTTTTTCATTTTTCTAGAAAATTCCCCAGTTTTGCGTCTGGTCTTCAAAATTTTGTTCTTTTTCTTTGTATCCTCATACAACTCTTTCAAATAGTTCACTGCTTCAATATCTTCATGCTCTCTCTTTAATTGGATTCCATCATGATTTCCAAATTCTCCAATGTCTTCATCCCAAATAAATAAATCACAAGTTTCATCGCTATTCTAAAATGGACATCTCCAAAATAGTCTCCCTTTATTGGGTCCCTTCTTGCATTGGTAAGAGACCGTTCGACCATTACAACCACATAAATGACCAGCTTGATACTTTACAGAAGAAGATGAATAAGAACTGCCTTTTGACAAGCTTACCTTTGAACCCCCATGTAATTCAATAAAATAGATGAAATAAATGAGATTTCACACATCGATGAAGAAGACAACCATGGACGGAGGCGCCAGAGCAAAAGAGTAAATCTAAGTTAATGAAAAATTAGGGAAAACATTTATATTTGCAAGCATATACCACGTAGGCTCCGTGTTAATATATTATAATCATTATAAAATAATGTTAAATGATTTTAAATTACACGTGTCCGACCACATCTGCAGCCGTTAGCTCAATTTAATGTCAGAGACGAATCTCATGGATGAAAGTTTTTGTGGAGACGATTAATTGAAGAAAATGTTTAAAGGAAATAAAAATGAAATCGGCTATATTTAGAGGAACCAAAAACATATTTATCCCTTCATTTTTATAGTATTTACATGAAAAAAAATATGAATCTTTACGATTAAAAGAAAAAGATGTAACAATATTAGATAAAAAAATACAAATTAAAATCCGTGACATTTCATTTATTTATCTTTGAAAATAGGATGAAATCTCCACTCTTAACCTACTAGACATAAAAAAAAAATGATACTATAATATATAGGGATGAAATCTATTTTTTTCTCTTCAAGGGACTAAAATGAAAAGGGTTAAAAACATAAATAACCTCTTATTATTTACAGCCTCAGTCCTTGCAATTTACAATCCCAGCCTTACTCTCGGGTCCAACCCAATGAATGTATCTAACTATAAAAGGCCAAACCCGCCCACTATAAAACCCTAGCTAACTCATCACTCCACTCGCCGAACAACCCTAATTCGCATTTTCACAGAGATTCATTTGCTCCCTCGGTACGTAACCCTAATTTCTTCATCATTCTCAATCAGCAACCCAGATCTGCCATTCGTATCAAAATCGTGCTATTTCTTAATCTTAATTTCATTATAATTTCAATTTTTTTTTGGTAACAGAGATGAGTAAAGAGGTGAAGACAAATGTTCCGGAGTCTTTTCTGAAGAAACAGAAGAGAGCTGAAGAATGGTCTTTGGCTAAAAATCAAGAATTTGAAGCCGCCAAGAAGAAAAGGGCTGAGAACCGTAAGCTGATTTACAGCAGGGCTAAGCAGTATTCTCAGGAATACGAGGAACAGGTACTTGTTTCATGTCACTGGACTTCTTGTTTGGTTCTTCAATTGTTCTGATTTATAGTGATAGTTGTGACTGTATATTTAGTTTTCGAACATTAAGTGATTGTGTTGTGTTTTTGTTTTTTGTTTTATAGGAAAAGGAATTGATTAGTTTGAAGCGTGAGGCTAAGCTTAAAGGTGGATTTTATGTTGATCCAGAGGCTAAGCTCTTGTTCATTATTCGTATTCGTGGGTATGTGTTTTATGTTTAATTGTTTTTGTTTATTCAGATTGGATTAGATGCTAGTTGATTTAGAACTAGTTAATTGTTCTTTACAAGACTTGTTAGATTAATGGTGTTTGCAATTAAGTTATACTAGACAGTGTCTGAGACAATTTTAATGTAAATGTCTTTTTTAATCAATCAATAAATAAATTAATATATGCTCTTTACTGGGCAAGCTGTGTTCCACCAACTCAGTTTATTTAAATTGTCTCTTTTGATGTTTTCGTGTTCTGATTATCCTAGCTTTTGCTAACTTCTATTTCAGTATTAATGCCATGGACCCAAAAACAAGGAAAATCTTGCAACTATTTCGATTGCGTCAGGTAACACTTGTTTTCATCTGTTACTGTTATACCCTCATTTTATGTTAGGATTTTATGTTGAGGGAATGCAATTGTAACACATTTGTACCTCCTTTGGGGAGTCTATGAATCATTGCATAGCATCTTAAAACAACTGGGTACTGGATTATTTGTTTGCTTAAAAACAGTTTGGTGATCCTTGTGTCTTTGCTGAACAGGTTTTTAACGGGGTTTTCCTCAAAGTTAACAAAGCTACATTGAACATGTTGCACAGGGTTGAGCCATATGTGACTTATGGGTATGTTAACTTGCTTCACATTGATATTTAAAGGCAATGTTTTTTCTTTAGTATAACACTCAAGAGACTCTTAATTATGTTTTAGGTACCCTAATTTGAAGAGTGTTAGGGAACTCATTTACAAGAGAGGTTATGGAAAGCTAGACAGGCAGAGAACTCCTCTCACTGACAACTCAATCATTGAGCAGGTGCAGTAATTTGCTTTTATAAATAACTGTTGCTATCTAAATTTTTTCACCACATGCTCCTGACTTTATTGGATGATACTCAGGGTCTGGGAAAGCATGGAATCATATGCATTGAAGATCTTATCCATGAGATTTTGACTGTTGGACCCCATTTCAAGGAGGCAAACAACTTCCTATGGCCATTCAAGCTCAAGGCTCCTTTGGGTGGCTTGAAGAAGAAGAGGAACCACTATGTTGAAGGAGGTGATGCTGGAAACCGTGAGAATTACATCAATGAGCTCATCAGGAGAATGAATTAGACTGTTGCAGTGTTTGATTATTTATTAGTGGTAATCAATATTTGTCGGTTTTAGATCAAGATTGTTTGCGCATCTGAAATTTTGGTAGTAGCAAATTTGTCTTATATACATTGTTTTGCAAATTTTGAATTTGGTTATCATTATGAGACTGATAAGTTATATTTCTATTTTAATGTGTTTTGTTTGTCATATACCTGATCTCAGTTTTGTTGTTAAATTCAGTTTTGCCTCCAAGTGTTCAGTTCCCTCTAATTGTCATATGCCTGACCAGTACCTTGTAGTTGTATTGGTGGTTTTTTGTCACCCTCCAATCCTGATGACTCAAATTGGTCTATGGTTCTCTGATCACCCATCAGATTGTTAAGAGTCTGATAGTTGTCATACTGTGTTATCATCATTTGACTTAGTTGGAGGCTCTGATCATGGGACTGAGATTTTAGTGTCATATGGCTTAGGAAAAATCTAAAAGCATAATACATGAAAAATTATTTTTCTTTCGGGCTTGGGGAAAATCGTCATATGGCTTGGGGAAAATCGTAAAGCATAATCCATGAAATATACTTATGTTTTATTTTTCTTTTGGGTTTTCAAAATTTACTTGTATTAATATACCTTCATGTGATTTGTTACTTTCACCCGGTGGGAACTTGTACACATGTTTTAAGGAGTTAAATTAGATCCACTTGCAGGCTTAATAATATTTTAACCCGTGTTTTATTATTGTGTAACAATCTTACTAGATGATACTATACATTTGATTTTATTTTATGGCCATTGCTGAGGCACAGTTGGTTCCAGCTTGATTTACTCGAATCTGACTCTGCTGCCTGGATAAGACAGTGGTTGAGCCTCTTGGTCGGATCTACTAGCCACTGTCACAGTGGCTGAGTCTCGTATTTACTTTAGAAGGTACTTTGAGATACAACCTAAGTTCATAGACCTAAGCTCATAGATACACTAATGTATAAGAATCCTTACGTTGATGTACAAGAATTGTACCAACCACGTCGGTCTAAAGTTACACAACCGATGTATATAGTGAGCTTAAAAAAACATGTAGATTATTGGATTGCATATTTCATTAAGAGGTTAAGAAAAAGGATGAAAATGTTAATTCAATTTCCTAAAGTTAAGTATGCATTAATAGCCATCTATGACATGCATTCTCAGTAAAGAAAGAGTTCTCCACCATTGATACTGATGACAAATGTTAAGTCAGTTTTTTCAATAAATATATTAGCAGTTGATATCTTGAAAGAAAAAACAAATCTATTTGAATCCAATCTTGATGCATGCTAAAGGAATTGATACTAATTCACATTCATCAGAAAATATGATGAAATCTGTTTTTGACATCACGAAAGCTTATCTGCTTATAGTTAAACAAACATGTGTATTAAATGGGGATATATTCTCCCCAGTCAAGTTTATTTTCAGTGAAGTCCCTACCCTTCTATTCTTCAAAAACATGTAATTAATTATTTTATGAAAACAAATGAAAGGTGAGGATCTATACATGGGCTTCAAAAATAATAAAAAACTTTTCTTTTAAAAATAAATAATAGTTTATAATTTTTAATATTTCTTTTGTCAATTTTCATGTCTCTTCGTAACATTTAGCATTATACTACAAATATATTATTAAATATGTATAAGACATTCTTATTGTTTTCTATATTGTCTATTACAAAAATTCATGTCATATTTTTAACATAATTAATTATTTATTTACGAACCTATCCACGTGTTACATCTTTTTCTGCAATTAAAGTATTTTTATTCTGGATAGATTTCTTTTAGAAGGAGTTTTCTTTTAGAAGGAGTTGTTGTTACCTGGTGGATTACACGAATAAGTGCAACAATAGTTGTTTATTTTTTAAAATTAATTTCGAGAAAAAAAAGTGTATGATAAGGTGAGTTTGAATTTTCTAAGATATGTGTTGAAAAGAATGAGTTTCAGTGATTTATGAGTGTAGTGAATGGAAGTTACTGTTTTTTAGTTGGATGTCAGTTCTTGTTAACGAGAGTTCTACTAAGGAGTTCAAGGTTGGTAGGAGGCTTAGACAAGGGGATCCTCTTTTTTCGTTTTTGTTTGTTATTATAGCGGGATGACTTACCGGTTTAGTCAAGAAAGCTATTCAGGCGAGGGATTATTCTTGTTTTTCTGGAAAAGGTAAATGTAGGATCGATATGTTACAATTTGCGGACGATATGCTATTAGTGGGAAATGGTGAACGGAAGTATCTTTGGTCTCTAAAGGCGGTGTTGAGAGGCTTCAAAGTGGTGTCGGAGTTAGGTGTTAACTTTCATAAGAGTAGTATTGAACCCATATTTTCTCTTGGCGGCGACAAAATTTTTCTCTTGTAGATTAGAGAATAATCATTTCACTTTCTTTGACATTCCTATATGATCAAATCCTAGGAGGGTGTCGTGGTGGAATCCGTTGATTACTAAGATTAAGAAGTGGCTTGCAGTGTGGAAAAGAAAGTTTCTCAGTTTAGGAGGAAGGATCACTTTGATAAAATCGGTTTTATCAAATCTGGCCATCTTTCACCTTTCCTTTTTTAAAACGCCTGCAAAAGTATGCAAGATGATGGAACATATTAATAATAAGTTTTTGTGGGGAAGCTTCTCCGAAGAAAGGAAGACGCATTGGATTCGATGGAAATCACTTTGTCTATCTTTAGACAAGGGAGAGTTAGGATTCAAGAGTTTCAAAGAGTTTAATGCGACGCTTCTTATAAAGTGGAATTAGAAGATCTTACAGGGGAATAATTTGCTTTGGTTGGATGTTTTATAGGCGAGATACGGTAATTTGAAATATCAAATTCTGACTGGAGCTAGTAGGATCATTTACAAATCGAAATCACTGTGGTGGACAGATATTTAAAAGATTGAATCTAAATTCCTTTGTTAGGTTTTCTCTTAGAATTGTTGTTTCATGCTTGATAGTGGCATTGGTATTCCATTTTGGAGTGCGGTTTGACATGAAAGGAAAAGTTTGATGGAGGACTATCCAGAGCTTTATAGCATAAGTTGTTTGAAGGATGTTAGTGTGGATCCGATAGGGACTTGGACGACAGAAGGGGTGGGTTTGGGGAAACCTTGGTATTCCAGTCGAGACTCTATCTTCCGCTACAACAGATTTACTGTTATTGTAGAATCGCTTAGTAGATTCTTTTCCTGACATTGCGGCTGATGATGCTTTAAGTTGGAATTTGGATGTGATTTTGGGCTAAACGACGAAGAATGATTATGACTTGTTCAATTTGAAATTGCTTGTTTTTTTAGAGGAAGGTACCTTATCAATTTTCAGATCAATTTGGAAATCTCATGTCCCTTTTAGGATCAAAGTCTTTGGATGGAGATGTATGTGGAATAGACTTCCTTCAAAGGACTATCTTTTTCAAAGAGGCAATATCCCTTCTTCTATCGATTTTTTGTGTTTTTTGTTCGAAAGAGGTCGAATCTTTATCCCATTTATTTCTGAAATGTAATTTGATCAAGCTTCTTTGGAGAGAATTTTTTTTTTAGTGTGGCTTCCGAATATACAGATGTCAGATTTGATTTGCTTTGAATGTTTGGTCTATTGAAGACAAAAAATTAGTCTATTGAGGGCAGAAAATTAGAGGTGAAGAAAGACAAAGTTTATTCTATTTGATTGACGTTAGTTTGGAGTATTTGGTGCCTCAGGAACAACGTTATCTTTAACAGTATAAGTCCGTCAGTTTCTGATTTAGGGTAGAATATTAAATTGAAAGTTTAGAAATGATTCAGAATTTGAAAATTTTCACTACCAAATATAACTTTTATGATTTCTGCAAAGAATTTTTGTTTTATTTGTGTTAAATTTCAGTGGATAAATTAGGTCTTTTCCAAATTTTGTTCTCGATCTTTTATAAATAGATTAAAATACCCCTAATACTCTTTGAATCTATTCGTTGCTTATAAAAAAAATACTATGACAAACTTCTAACAACTTCTCCTCAACTTTGTAAAATAATATCAAGTGCCAAAATTTTTTTTAACATAACTACAAACTGTTAATTTTTGTAATTTTATCAGAGGTTCTATAAATAAAAACAAAATAGTAATAACAAAGTTACACATTAAGATACAAAATATTTTTTGAGAAATGACATCATTTAAAAATAAAATTGCTGAAAAATTTACCATTTGTTAAAATTCTTATATCTATGAACCCGACTTCATAATATAAATGCTAGTTTTTTAGAACATTCTTTGGTACTATGTAGGCGAAATACATAGCAAAATTTAATTTCATATTACAATTTCTTAACTTTATGTATGTCTTACATTTACTTTTAATTTGTTTTTCCTTATTTGCATCTAATTTGTTTTTCTTTACTTACATTATAATTTCAACCACTGACCCTCAGGGTGATTGCAGGAAAGGAAAAAGAGTTGTTCATAGTGGAAGGTAGCACCACAGTGTAAAGACTATGACTCAGATAGATAAAGACATGACTTATCTGCAGTTTCTGTTTTTACCCCTAGCAATCAAGATTTTTTTTTTAACAAAGTTATTAAATAAAAATATCATGTATTTAAACTCGCCTTTCAATCAAATTCTAATGCAGATACAATACAAAACTAAACTGAATTAACAAGAAATAATCAAACAGAGATTTTCTTTATCAATGAAAAAAAAGAAAACGGAAAATTAAGATATTGAAAATTAAATTTCCATAAAGGTTCTGTTTGGCACATATTTTGAACTATAGATTATAGTGAATTTCTTAATCCACTCTATATCTTAATTACGCACCACGTGAAATTCTATAAATATTCTCAAAATCGAAAGTATATTTCCAGTGTGCACCGAGATCTGATAAAGCACACATAAGAACTTGAAATTTAATTATGGTTTGGAACCGGATGTGTATTTCTGTTTTATTTTTTTACAAAAACCAAAAAACATTATCGAATTGCATCATAATCTCACAATAGAATTCATAACATAAACATAGCAAATACTG